ACCACTCACTCCAGATTATGGTGGACCAGTTGTCAGCTATGCCGACGGGGTTTTTGATTCCCGATTCAACCGTTATGTCACTCCACGGGAAGGAATGCAAAGCACATAACATCTTCTGTTTTATTTTTTCTGTTAGTGTGAGGAATGTGCAGTGTCAATCCAATCTCTCCTTTTTTTGTAGATGCTCGTCAAAGTGCAACTGAACCGATCACAACGATTGTAGCAGTAGAGCTTCCCGGCAAGGATATTATGGGTAATTATTAATTCAGAGTTTGCCAAAAACTAAACCCAAGTCCTTGCTTCACTTCAATTGCATAGTACATTGTGTAAACACTACAAACGAAATCATAATGTGGGCATCTATGTGACATACAGAACCAAAAGTACTAATAAGTGGAAGTGACTTCTATGCCTTCCCGCGTCTGGACTCCAAAGGCGAACGAATGTCATGGATTGAATGGTCTCATCCTAACATGCCATGGGATAGAGCTCAACTTTGGGTTGGCTATATTTCTGAGAAAGGGTAGTAGCTAATCTCTCTTCGGGATGCCAGTGCTCTTCTAATTTATGCTATGTTCCTTTTGTTAGTCAGGTTAAGCTTCTTGGTTTTTTCTTGCAGAGAATTCTATAAACGTGTCTATGTTGCTGGCTGTGACCCCAGAAATTATCGAGTCTCTCACTGAACCCAAGTGGTCACCTAAAGGTGATTTTTTGATTTACTTGGTAGAGAAACAAATTTAAACTCGAAGTTGTTTTAGTTATCGTGCTCAGTAAATATATTAGGCTGAATTTGATTGAATAGAAATTTCCCCCGGGGGGGAGGGTTTTAAATGTCCATTCTTGGGGAACTTCTTTTATGATTGAGAAGTTCTAGTAGCCGGGATCAAGAATCTTGATTGTTATTCTTCACAATGGAATGCCTCAAGGTTTCTGTTTCTGTTGATTCTATATCGTGGGATTCACCTTGTACATGTTCAGTAGTTGATATTAATCTACGGTAGGAAATATATTGAACCGTCAGATGCTTTGTGTTATGCTTTAATTGTGCAGGGGAACTATTTTTTATATCTGACAGGGAACATGGGTATTGGAATCAGCATAAATGGGTAAATTTCGTACTTTAACATTTTTGTTTGCTGTTGATCCATTGCAAATAGTATAAGGTCAGTATACTCAAATTTGACGATACCTGAACATTTTTTTTCTAGTTGAACAGCAGTTATTTGGGATTCATCAATGCATGTTTTCTTAATTCAATTTTTATTTCACATGTTGACCGGCTTAGATGTTTTTGAAATTTGTATGTTTGTCTACGCAGACTTTAGGGATCAATTGCCTATTCGTGGAAGGAGCATCAGAAGTTCTTCCATTGTCTGTAGCAAAAGGTGTTCTGCAACCTTTGACGTCCAAAAACACATCTTTCCGTTGCACCATATCTGGAAAAGGGCTTTTGTTGTATATTAGACCACTTGTGTTTTGTATCACTAAACCTTTCTAGTTTGGTACAGGTGACCTTAGACGACCACAAATCAGAAGCGGTTGAATTCGAGATTATTTGGCCGTCTTCACCTGATTGTTTAAAATACAATTCCTACTTCAGTTCACCCAAATTCATAGAATTCTCAACAGAAGTTCCTGGCAAATTTGCCTTTGGGTACACGAAAGCCTCCACTTGTATTGCAAGCCCATGGTATGCTGTGGTTTGAAACATTCCTAGCTATATTTCCTTTATTGTGTCATATCTTTTACAAATGTTGTTCCGCAAGTTCCCGAGTGGATGAAGGTGAGCCTCTGTTTCTAAATCAGAGGACAATATTATCTATTCGTTGCAATGAAAAGAAACTTTGATCCGGGAAAATTGGATAATTGATATCAAATAAGACTTTCTCCTCAGAAGTATCTCACCAGCATTGTTCACATAAAGCACGCTCACGCACTGCCTTTTGTATATAAATATATTTGTTACAGTTTAGTTCCTCTTTCGTTTACTGCAGAAGGTCCTACATTTGAATCACGCAGAGTCTTAAATATGAGTATTCATTACTGGACTAGTCGTGGTTGGGCATTTGTACTGTCAACTATGGTGGAAGCACTGGTTTGCTCTTAACCGTATATTATAGTTTTTACATTTTGTACTTGGTTTCTATAGGATCTTTTTGTTGCACATTGATAGTTCTAGAGTTCATTGGTTTTGAGTTTATGAGTCCTCTTGCGACACTAAACATTTCAATCTTTATTTTCTTATTTTTTTAATCACATGCGTTAGTTTGTCAAGTAAAATAAACTGCATTTCAAGATATATTTCATTATATCTTATACTAAGGGTTTTAAGGTTATGGAAGAAAATATCGCGAAAGGCTGATGGGAAAATGGGGAGTTGTGGATGTAAATAACTGTTGCAGCTGTGCTAGATATTTGGTATTAATCCATCCTCCCCTTAGTAACGGTGGTGGTGAATTTGGTAGAACACCCGTCAAGCCATGGTAATTATATATGTTTTGTTATGTAGGTGGACTCTGGGAAGGTAGATGGCGAACGGCTATGTATTACTGGGGACTCTGCAGGTGGTTATACAGCCTTAGCTGCTTTTGCTTTTAGAGACATTTTCCATGCAGGAGCTTCGTCGTATGGCGTGAGTTCTTAGCTCTATCGTTTACTTTTCAACTCTTTGTCTCATTAACTATAACTCAGTTTAGTCTAAGAACTTGAAAGCTGAGAGTTTCTTTTGTCACATGGGGTGATGAACAGATAGCTGACTTATAGTTTACTTTTCACCTCTTTGTCTCATTAACTGTAACACGGTATAGTCTAAGAACTTGAAAGCTGAGAGTTTCTTTTGTCACATCGGGTGATGAACAGATAGCTGACTTAGCAATGTTGAGGGCAGAAACTCACAAGTTTGAATCTCACTATATCGATAATCTTGTTGGTAAGTCAGAAGATCACATTTGATGCTTTTACGTTACTGATGCCATTTGGCCACCGAAACAAATATAATTGGTTGCAGGTAGTGAAAAAGATTACTTTGATAGGTCGCCAATCAACTTCGTTGGTAAGTTCTCTTGCTCCATAATCTTATTTCAAGGATTGGAAGACAAGGTAGGGAGATCGTGCCATTTTATACTCTTCGTCATATGCATTTTCATCCCCTCTTTCACTGTGTAATGACTACGGATGAAAGTTTTGACATAGAGGAGATGAGATAAGATGGTAAAAATTGAGTTTGGAAAATACAATTTTATTTTTGTAGTCTGTACCGCCAGCACAAGCTCGTAAGATTTACCATGCTTTGAAGGAAAAGGGTTTGCCTGTTGCTCTTGTGGAGTATGAAGGAGAACAACACGGTCTCCGCAAGGTAATTTCTGTGTTATGTACTTGCAAAATTTATATCCCTGTTGATCAGATATTATATGCAGGCTGAGAACATTAAGTTCACGTTGGAACAACAAATGGTCTTTTTTGCACGTTTAGGCGGACACTTCAAGTTTGCAGATGAGATTACCCCAATCAGAATTGATAACTACGACTAAGCATTTATCAAAAGAGGTGCCTATGCTCCCTTTATGTATGAGGTATTACGTCTGCAGATTTTTGTTTCGTTATTTGGTTTCCGTGCAATCTAGCTGAGAAAAAGTTACTAGTTTTTAAAAAACCTTTGGATCCGTTACAGATGATTAATTTAAATGAGCTTTAATCTATTCGGATCACCGATAGAATTACAGTATAGTATTAGTTGTTGGATTGAAGTATTTATGTCTGCATTACGTTGTCAAAAACCTTGCTTGGAACCGCTTGGTGGATCTGATCAAGCGGATGCGATCAAGGTTTTTGACCTTGGATTAAGGTAAACTGTCATTTGGAGTGATTATACGTACATATGGTTCCAAAACCGTAGAGCGAAAACCTATACGATTTATTTAAGCCTTGACATCCCATCTTAGACTTGAAATCTCACGTCTAGAAGTTGACAATGTCTTTTGCCTACCGCCCGTTATCGACAATTTTAAAATCACGTAGGACAAAAGATTAGTCTAGTAGTTCGTTGGTCTCTATCTAGCTGGAATAAAATACAAGTCTGTCCTACCAGTTGCGTCCATGTTTTCTGAACATTCATTTCAAGCATTTAAAAGATCATAGAATATTATCGTGAAGGCCTTAAGAAACCTTTAAATACCTATAAATATTTGTTAACTGTATTTTTTAACAATTAAGGACATTTTACCAATTAAGGACAAATTCCATGTGAATAAGTTTGCAAATCATGCACCAAAAGTTGGGCTATTTTAATGGGTTTTGTCATTCGTTATAACTTACAAGTTTGCTACAAGTTTTTGGGGATTTTAAAGTTTCAAGGCCTTATATATAGATATTCCCGATTTTGAACTTGTTAAATCTTAAGTTAAAAATATAAAAACCAAGATTTAACGGTTAAAATGTTCTCAGTACAGATATTTCGGAATACTATTAAAATGCTCTCAAAACGATTTCTGGATCCATTAAAGAATACAAGAACATGACCGTTATCCTATATACCATGACGTATTGACTTCTAGATTGTTGAATTAGGATAATCAATTATGAAGTTTATCCGACAAAAACTGGATTTGTAAGTCTGATACAATGTTTTTCCACGGCATCTATTATGATATTTTTCCCTTTTTTGTCAAATGGTTAGGTGTAGGGTCTTGGAATTATTGCAGGGAGTTATTCAAGTGGGCAAAAGAAAAATGTTTGTTCTTCTGTAAAATGGAATTGTAGATACTCACTCGGGTCAGGTGCGGCCTGCTTATGAACTCTTAGCTTGTTGCTTCCCTTGGGTTTTGATTCAGGTTCGGATAAGATCCGATATAATTAACAAGACCTCTAATCCAATAATCCAAGTTCGAATGATTCGAACTTGATAATCTTCAAATATGGATTAAGGCTGATCGGGGTCAGAAACATTAGTTATGGTGCAAATTAATAATACCAGTTTAGATGACGGCAAAAGGTCTCATGTATGAATTGTTAATCTATGCTTTTTCCATTATATGTATGTATTTTTCCAATTACAAACTTTGAGATCGAACAAAGAAATTAAGAATGGTGTATATGCGCAGTAATGGGGCAGTTGTTTCTCTATGTTTGTGATTTTTCACTGCACACCACCATCAACCATTCTCCTCTCATGTATGAATTCTACACTGCTAATTAGCAACAAATAACCAACTTTACAACAAAAAGGAGAAGAAAAAAGTTTCTCAAGAACATATCAAAGCATCAATTGGGGATCGATATTCATTTTCTTGAAAGAGACCCAAAGCCATTGGAAAGGGCACTGACTGCGGGATTGAAGGCCAATCTGCCCAAAATGCCCTGCTTGTAAGGCAAGAAGGTCTTCTTCTTCATATCATTAGACACTGCTTTGTTCGCAGTGTAATGCAACTCGTGAGCTGAAACTGGATGCCCTCTTCTCCTTGAGATCGAAACTGAGGCCGGGCTGTCTATTGACCTGAAGCTGGAGTTCTTCACGTCTTCATTTTTCCTAAACAAAGTTAAGTACTTCGTGAATGGATCTTTATCTGTGGCTCTTCCCTCCGAGGCGCTTCGAAACAACAAAAAATCCTTTAGTTTCCATTTTCTTGAAGCCTTAGAATCTGTGCAGGATGTAAACGTAGCTTTGGGAGCTAACTGCTTGTTGTTTTGTTGTTGCTTCTGTAGCTGCTGTTGGTTTTGTTTTTCTTCTTCTACCCATTGGTACTCGGAGACCCTCAAGGGTGATACCGATCTTGTAGCTCTTCGGCCTGAAAGGGAGGATGACAAGGCTGCTGGAGTTCTCTCTCTACCTCTTTGTTGTTGTTGTTCGCTTATTCTCTCGCTTCTTCTTGTTGTGTTGTCCATTTGGGTCGTCGGATATTCTTTACCCTTTTTCCGTCTAGGTGACAGAACCTGACGGAAAAATGATGGAGTGGGTGGAGGCTTATTAAAGGGTCTAATGACGCCGCCATCGAAAAGCTCTTCAGCTGAAAGAGAAGTTCTTTGTACCTCTTCACCAACATCAAAAGCAAAGTCATCGAATCCAAAGTCATCCTCACGTTTAGGCGATTTTGGTGTGGCCGCTTGAGATGCTGCCTCATCATCTTCCCAGTTGCGCATGTTGGAAAACTCCTCAAAATCCCTATAAAACTCGGACATCCGAGTAGGGCTTGTTGGTGCACTCATATAGAAGTCCCCAAACCGCCTTGGCGTCGAAGGCTCAGTCACAGACTGCGAGGATCGAGCGCTGTTGAAGTCGAAATCCATGGCTGCTCTACTTGGTATTATCACCTCCATGGATAATGATCAATCTATATTTTGCTTTGCTTTGTGTTGGGAGAGTTTGGTTTTTGAGAGGGACTGAAAAATGAGAAGACAAAGGTTAATCATATATATGGAGTACAAGTAGAGGAAGGAACATGGAAATTACAATAGAAGGTTGAGTTTGTTGACCAATGACCATCACACTAAGACAAGGATTAAATTAATGATTTATCTGGAGCCGCCCTTTAATACTTTGTGACTAATCATGGTTTATTTTCTATTATTACTTGTGCTATAAAACACTAAAACATCACATGCCAAAACTCTCATCATTTCTTTTTGTTTTTTTGTGTTTTCTTATTACGGTGCGAATTTTCTTTAAAATTAATGAAGGGCATGGACGTAGCAACATTAACATGACAACATGTTAATTAAAAGTAAATGTGGATTAAACTCTATTGTTCATTTTATTATATATAACACGTAATGCAATACGTCAAATGACTTGCATTTTCGATACTCATAAAATTTTCTTTACATGATGGTGACGTTTACTTATATTAAAGTAAAACTCATTGCGCAATGAACTGCATTACCCATTTCACGTTTCACCTGTGTTTCTTTGCCTCCAAGTTTATTTGGTTTGACCACAATGCATGCAGTCAACGTAGTCGGTTGCTTTGCTTTCACCTGAGATATGGGATTAATTATAGCCATAAGTTTGGCATGTGTTTAAAAAGCCCAATCGAACGATATGAACAAAATATGATGCAGGTTAGTATACTATGTCATAATCATGGGGAACATAACTAGGGTTGGTTGAGAAATATGGTAAGGAGAAATGTTATAAGCGCTATGTTAAAAGTGAGACTCTTTGTATGAGTTTTCTGTCACTTCACAGATTAATGTTAATTTTCATACCAACATTATAAAATATTATACCAAAAATATAAGGTGACATAGATTTTATAGAAAGTTCTAATTTTGAAAGAGTTCCTCTCTATAATAAAACATGTAAAATTGGCTTTTTTTATTTTATTTTATCCTTTTGGGTTTCCCATTCGAGATGACGATGAAGTAAAGTTTAAGGAAAAATAAAGCTAACTATGCAGATTAATTGGCATGATGACGGTCACCACAACGTAGTGGATGTATTCTAAACTAATTCATGTTTCGTTTGCAAATTCAATTAAACTGATTAAAGAATGTTACGTATTTTTGTATTTAAGTTTAAATTTTTCTCAATTCACATAGTATCGTCCTGTCAAAAAGTATATACTTTTTTTCTTGATTTGACGCCCCACCTACCTGAAAGATTAGCTGAATTGGTTCAAGATATTGGTTGATGGCTTTATAAACGTGCCAAAAGTCGCTCTTAGATTAAATCTCACTTCTAGAAATATTTGAAGCCTCATCATTTTTCTTGAGCCATGTAAGGGTGACATCTAATAAGACTGATGTTGTTGGGTGCAGCTATATATCTTGCTTTGGGGACCCAAATACATCGTATGGTGACAAAATGTTGTACAGCTGACGAATTTAGCCGAATCTCGAGCTGTGACATAAGCCCCTTTTGTTGATTTTTTTGTGCAGAAAAACAAATTTGGTAGGGAAACCTTATCACCTTTTACAACACACCTACAACAATTTTTGCTCCTCTCCATAATTTTCTTCGGTAACCTTTTTTTTTATTTATTTTTTATTTTTTTATTTTTTTTTATTTTTTTTGTAAATTGAGAAGAGACTTTTATAGCACTAATCTTGCTATCATGACATTTTGTTTCATGATACAATGATATTTGTAAATATTTTTCACATAATGACGATGTATTGTGCCATATGTGTTGCCCTCGAAACAAAGATGTCAATTTCTTTTTTTCAATTCATGTGTCACTCGTGGTTGCACGCAATGCTATCCACGTTATTACTTGGTACAACAAATACATGTGGCCTTTGGTGAGGAACAAAAGATGCATAAGCACATGGCGGGGTTAGGGTCTTAGAAATAGATGTAAAATAGTGGTTGGGCAACGCAGCCGGCCCAGTTAGCCTTAATAATGCTTTCAAATTGTGGGTGCACGTTTTGTGCCCGTCACATATATTATTTTGGAACATATTGACAAGCTTTTGCCGTCCAATGTTCCCCCTTGTATAAACTTTAATGAGTAATGTTAGGCAGACTAATTGTTTTAGACAAAATTTATAAATCATGTAATATGTCATCAATAAGAAATAAGCACATAAATCAACACTTGACTAATAATCCAATCATCAGCAACCATGTCATATATTTATAAAATATGGTTTAAATGGATGATTTCCCTAGCATCACCCAACTTTAATACCTCATTTAGTTGGATTTTTCTGCTTATTTGTGAATGGTACAAACAAATGTTCTGCACTATTCGTTTATTGTATAAGCAATTAGATGTTTGGGGATAAAGAGATATGTAGACTAGTTTTCAAAGAGTAATGTTCTCTCGCCACAATTATATTTCAGATATATATTTTTATGCTATCAATTTGCGAAGCTCAAATTAGCAAGCGTTGCCCTCAATCGAGGAGCTAGACTATGGTACGGTGTTTCTTAAAATACTCGTAAGTAAATTTGTTTGGTACAAGTGACATGAACATCATGATTTATATGACCAATCTCAAATTTGTTGATAATCTCACATTGATTCAACCATTTAATTATCTGAATTTTTTCGTGGACAGTTACATGCTCATGGAAACATGCGAGTAGCAAAGAAGATTATACAATCTTGAATCTTCTTCACTTCTAATGGTATCGTATACATTTGAAACATTCCGTCCTAGTTTCATAAACAAATGTCAAATGGGATTAAGAAGAAAAAGACCATCTAGAAGTGAAGACAGCTCACGGGGTTGAATCGTTGGCTGATAAGAGTAATGTCAAAATATGCATGACACGCACAAGTGCACATCTATACCCTAAATATTTAATTCAAAACAAGGCATCGTATTCATACGTGTGTATGCAAATTAAAACAAAATACTCGACTCATGACAAGCACAAATTGACACACAACCCATAAATTAAACATGCCCCTACCTTTCCAGTTTCATATATGTACAAGAAGCTAGCTAACTTCGAACAAAATAGTAAATAAAAAATGTAGCAAGAACTATGACGCCCGTGTTTGTAGTCTACAGGTTGCTCATTAACAACTCGTGGCTTTGGTTGTTCTTTTATAATATTATTTTAATACAAACGATATTGAGAAATAAGATATTCTAACGTATGAGTACACGGATTAACACTCTTATCTCTTAACCACTTGTTGCAAATAGTGATTTTGATTTAATCAAGCTAGTCATATACTGAAAAAAGAAAGATGATAATCACACTCTTTTTCTATCATAATACACTCTTGTCTAATTATGCATGTTGTTACTTCTGATTTATTCAGTCCGATAACTGTGGATGCAATGACTTTTGCTTGTTGTGGAGCAAGGCCCGTGCCTCTCTCTTCAATAAGAGAGTATTATCCACAAAATTAGACAAATAAAATAAACTAATAGAGATGATTAGTTGGGTTAATATTAATTGATTAGGTCCAGTTGCCTTTTCAAATGAGAGAAATGCTAGTAATTTTCTCACTTAAAAAAGAATTTTTAGTGTGCTTAGAACATGGTCTGGTATACAAGTGTCATAATATAAATAGTGTGATATTAAAAAAAAAAAAAATTCAACTACTTGTATTATGACACTTCGTGTACGGGTTGTGTTCTTAGCACATTGATTTTTTTTTTCTAACTTACCTTGTCATTTCAACCTTGACTACTACAAAAACCACTTTGCGTGACGAAATAAGTTTGTTGCGCAAAGTACAATTTTGTTGCGCAAAACCTTGTGCGACGAAAGTATTGCTATTTGTTCTGTTTATCCATTTCATTGTGTTTCATGACCATATGACCATATGACCATATATGAAAAACTATTTCCGAGCCAATGTTATTTTCCTCTTGCATCCTTCCTCACTTGTTTTGTCAGCTGGGCCATCTAAGGTTCTGGTGCTAGTGTGGAAAATCGGTCCATTGCTAACATTTGAAGATGCATACGCTGTTACCATGATAGAGATAACAAAGAGTGATCCTCGTGTTCTTTATGATATTGATGTGGTGTTGGAACACGCTTGTCAACAGGATCTAGACATCTCACACGGATCTGTGCTATATGATGTTGATGAGCAAACTGTTCGAAGTCTGAACGGCTGCAGGGTTGCAGATCAAATTCTTAAACCTGTCCCCAATGTTGAGGTTGATCACGGTTATCTCTTGCCCTGGTTTATTTTGTGGTTTAATTGACTCAAAGTGTGACACTCTATTTAACTGTAGCACTTCCGGACGACACTCAGATGTTTGAAGTTTTGGGCTAAAAGACGTGGTGTTTATTCAAATGTAAGTTTTGCTGTGTTCAGAGCTGTTCAGAATCTTCATTATTAATAACTCATTAGTTTTTTCTATTTGTGTAGGTTACTGGATTCCTTGGTGGTGTAAATTGGGCTATCTTACTGGATTCCTTTGGTTTTATTACAGGAGATTGAGCTGAATAAGGCCCAGTGGAGTGCTCTATTTGAACCTTATCTCTTCTTTGAGGCATACAAAAATTATCTACAAGTGGACATAGTTGCAGCTGATGTTGATGACTTGCTGATGTGGGAGGGATGGGTGGAATCCCGGTTTAGACAGCTTACCCTGAAGGTAAACGGTTTCTTCTGGAGTTGTTTTGAAAGCTTTTATAGTGGTTTTCCTCTTAATGTTGTGCATTTTATCTCCGTGCAGATAGAGCGAGACACGAAAGGGATGCTGCAGTGCCATCCATATCCTAAGGAATATGTCGACGTATCCAAGCCATGGCCGCACTGTGCTTTCTTTATGGGTTTGCAGAGGAAAGAGGGAGTGAGAGGTAAAGAAGGTCAGCAATTTGATATACGTGGAACAGTCGATGAGTTCAGGGAACGAATAAACATGTACATGTTCTGGAAACCAGGGATGGATATATATGTTTCTCATGTTCGCCGGAAGCAGCTTCCTCCCTTTGTTTTCCCTGATGGGTAACTAGTCAAACCATGTAGTCGGAAGACGGGGGTGGAGAAGGCCGAATGTGCATTGGGGTCACTTCTATCACTCATAAACTCAATTTCCAAGTGAGTCACTCGATTTGTGAACTCTGGATTAGGAATTGTACCAGCTGGAAGTGAGAAAACTGAAAGTTCTGGAGAAGATGGTGGGAGAGGGGGATATTTGCAGGATGATTCACTTTTGGAATTGCCAGAGTTGCTTGGGAAATGGCACTTTATAAATGCGAATAGGGTATTTCAAAACGCCTTGTCAGAAGAGGTTAAGGTTTTAACATAAACTCTCTTATACATGTTTTCTCTATTTTCCTTTTTTTAGCACAGACAATGTCTTTAACTGGTGCAAATTGTGGTGGCAGGTTCTGCACCACTATACGTGATTTGTTCCCAGTAACTGTGCTTAATACCTTACAAGTTTTGTGTACCCGTAGTGTTTATCTCATCTCTTTTCTCCAATACATTTTTCGGAACCTGAAAAGTCTTTTTATTCCCGATCTTGTATTGTAGAGCCAGCTGTAGCAATCGGGAGTACCGTCAATTTTGAAGATGGAGCTAGGTCAGGATCTTTGCAGAGGCCAACAGTAAGGCATGCATTTGAAACTCATAATATTTTTTAAACAAACCATTATATCGAAACAGTAGTACCAAGTGAACATTTACTGCAAAACTGAGACTAACAAGCTTATGAGTCCAAAAGTATTTACAATGCTTCCCATCTCTTATGCATAAAACTATACTGATCTTGAAAGTTGAAACTAGTGGAAATTCGGTATGTGGAACCCCGACCGATGCTTTCCCGCCGGCATATATTCGCAGCGAGATTTCTTCTCAATTATTATGTACATTACACACTGTAAACTAAGCTATCGTCCACCTCTTTACTGCGTTTGTAACTGGAAAGGCAGGTGGCAGTGCTGAGGAGGGGAGAAACATCAAAGTCACTTCCCACCTCTCCCACTTCAAAACCATTTGACGGACCATGGCCGAGAAGAATGTGCACAACTTCCTTCATGGAAGGACGAGTTGAAGGTAATGTACTGGTGCAGATGAGTCCTAGTTTTAGCACGGTGGCCATCTCTTCCAAGTAACAAGGTTTTGCGATCTGCCCATCGAGGGCATCAGTTATGGCCTTTCCCTCGCTGTATTCCCGCCATGCCCATTCTGCTAGGCCTGTATGCTCATCTCCACAGTTGGGTTCTCTCCCGGTTGTTAGTTCCAGGAGTACAATCCCGAAGCTGTAGACGTCTATCTTTTCGTTGATTTTCGTTGTATAAGAATACTCTGAAAAGCAAAATGTCGTACAATGTAAGCAATGTCCGAAATATATGAATGCTAAACAGACCAATTTAAGCTCTTACCTGGTGCCATGTAGCCGAAGGAGCCTGTGATAGCGGACATTGTCTGATGATCTCCGTCCTTCGAAAAAATCTTTGCCAGTCCAAAATCTGCTATTCGAGCCTTGAATTCAGAATCCAACAAGATATTGCTGGACTTCACATCACGATGAATTATCGGCGGAGAGCAGTCATGGTGCATGTAATACAAGCCTTGTGCAGCCAACTATCGCAATCTGCAACCTCGTCGGCCAGTCCAAAACGGTGTGATTAGCCACACCCAGGCCTGATGCTGGCCTTCTCCTCTTCCCATGTAGCCACTTATCGAGGCTCTGATTTGCCATGTACTCGTACACAAGAAGCTTCGAATTGTCACTTGAAATGCAGCACCACAACTTAACAATGTTCGAATGGTGAATTGTCCCCAGTATCTCAACCTCAGCAATGAATTCTTTCTCAAGCCTCTCATCCAAGCTGTTGGTGTTACAAATCCTTTTCACCGCGACATATTCACCCGGGCAGTTGGTGCTAACCTGATAAACATTCCCTGAACCCCCACTTCCAATGAGATTGGTATCCGTCAAACTCGCCAACACGTTGAACTCTGTGAGATTCAATCTGTGGAATGAGGTGAGCTTCCATGTTGCCAATCCTGACCACTCCTTCTCCTCCAGTAGTCTCTGACCACGAAAAAGGTCAATAAAACAGTAACAAGGAACACCGCGATGGAAAGGACTAGAATCATGGCAAGGACTTTCGAGGACAGCTTGTGGGAGACAGGGACTTTGGTGTAACAACTGGGAAGGTTAAGAACTGGACTATTGGCACAAAGATTCGAAATGTTCAAGAAACTGTTTTCATACGCGAGATTATCAAACACATCTGGGATTTGCCGGAAAGCTTGTTGGAAGACAAGTTAAGAGAACTGAGCCTCAAGCTGCCAATCTCAGCTGGGATTTCACCTGTGAATTGGTTCCCGGACAAGTCCAAGTATAGCACGTTAGGCAACGAACCAATGGCTGCTGGAATGTGGCCCGAAAGCGCATTTCTCGAGAGGTTCAAAGTATTCAAGGATTCCCATGAGATGATCTGAGATGGTAATTCGCCCGAAAATTGATTCCCGTCAAGCAGCAGAGTGTTCAGCTGAGAAAGACTAGTCAGTTCAACTGGGATTTTCCCCAAAAACAGATTTCCGCTCGCCTTAAAAACAACCAAACGTTCCCCGGACGAAACTTGAACCGGAATCTCACCGGAAAATCTGTTGTTGCTAATTTCCAGTCTCGATAGGTTCCAAGCCAGCTTGCTGGCGGGAAGCTGACCCGAAAACAAATTGTCACTCAGCATCAAACTCGACAGAGTTAGTCCAGTCCAAACTCCGAAGGGAACCTCACCCGAAAAACGGTTGTGGTAGACCTTCAGCGTCCGCAACGAATCACAATTTCCAAGCCCTTTTGGCAACTCTCCGGTAAGATTATTAGAGAACGTAACAGCTCTTTGCAAAACTCCTCCGCTGCATAATTGTTCCGGCGGAGAGCCGCTCAGCTGATTCCTGGAGACATCAAAAGCTTCGAGCTTCGAGTGAAGGCCTAATTCCGGCAGCAAGGTCCCGTTCAACATGTTCTTAAAAACCTGAAATACCCTCATCGTCGGAATTAGGCCTAAACTCTCCGGAATCCCACCCGTTAATTGATTTGAAAAAAGATTCAAACTTCAAAACAGTCAGATTCTTTATCTTCCCAAAATCTTGTGGGATCGAGCCGCTCAAATTGTTCATAGACAGATCAATCTGAGATAAATTCGAAGCCTCGACAGCCGGCGGTATATCCCCTGAAAATTTGTTGTTAAAGAGAAACAACTCGCTCAAATTCTTCAACAAAAACAACCCACCTGGAATCTTCCCTTCCAGATTGTTCCTCTCAAGATTCAAGTTCTCGAGGTTCGACAGACCTGAAAAACTCTCCGGAATCTCTCCGATCAAGTTCGTATCCGTCATCCACAAGCTCTTCAGCTTCTTCAAATTCCCGAACTCCGTCGGGATACTGGCCGCCGCCAAGTTTCCGTTATAAGGCATCTCGAATATTTCGAGATTTGACAAGTTCCCGATCTCCCACGGAACACTCCCGTTGAACAGATTCAAATAAACCTTGAGTGTCCTCAGCTCCGTCAGCCTGCCGATCGCCGCAGGAATGTTGCCGGAAAAATTGTTTCCTCCGAGGTCCAAGTGCTTAAGAGACGGCGACATCCGGTAGATATCGGGGGGAATTGGGCCGACAAAGTAGTTCTGCGAGAGGTCAAGGACTTCGAGATTCGAGCAGTTGTAGAGAAATTTCGGAAACTCTTCCAGGCGAGGTGGAGCTCTGCGAGGCTTGGGAGCTTGCAGACGGCCTACGGGATTCTCTCCGTGATGTTTACATCGGGGAGGGAGAGCCCAGTGAGCAAGCCGTTTGTGCAGTTGATCCCCGGCCAATCGCACGGTGAGGAGGAGGAGTTCCACGATTGGATGGACGGTGGATTTCTTCATTGTGCTTTGATCTTGAGGAGGATTGACTGCTCTGTGGATTGTGAAATTACAATCAAGGGTAGGGAGACGAGGAGGAAGAGGAGAAGGGAGGGTAGGAGTGGGAGGGGTGTTTTCGACATTTCATGTGGCTTAGTTCGTTTGCTCTGGTTGGGTGTTTTACCGGGAAAATGTGAGTCAAACTTTGGATGGTTTGAACAGCGGGATTATATGATTTTCTGCGTGTAGAAATGCCACCCACAATGGCCAAAATTACATTATGCCACTCAAATTGATTTAATGATAATAATCGTGTCGTTTTAGTCAACTTAGAGGTTTATTTTTACACGCATCAAGTGGAGCTAATAAGTAAACATGACAAACGAGTCGTGTTTGTCTCGTTTTTGTGTCATATCCGTTATCTTAACATGTTGTGTCATGTCCAATTCGTTATTTTAATTAGTTATTAACATTTGATCAGATAACGATCCGATCTCTTAACGCGTCATGTTGTTTTCTGTCGGGTTAACGGGTTGTAAAATAAATTGTCATGTTTAATGTCTAGATCTGACAAATAATATCTCATCATATTCTTAATGGGTGACCTGATAATGACCCGATTTATGAATGGGTTCTTAATGGGTCATCCGATAACGACCCAAATCGTTAACAGGTTAACTCGAAACCTATTATTTTTGTGTTGTTTCGTGTCGAATTAACAAATCATGTAAAAAATTTCCAAGTCTACTAATAATCATATGTTTAGGGAGAAATTGACAAAAATAATTATTTGGTGTCGTCTTGTCATCATTTTCTTGTCTATTGTCTAAGGAAAAAATGGATCGTTTAGCAATATTAAGTAATAAAGCAAAATCTAGGTGCTGCTAATCTCTATCTAGTTAGATGATAATTATAATCTAATATTCTTGAAAGAATATTTAAATTAAAATTCATTGTTTGATTAGTTTGGTGATGTAATGCAGTTACTAGTAGATTGTGAAATATCGATAACAAAGTTTATATTCTAATACTAACGATTATGCTAAGCTGTGTATGTGAGTTTTACTAATCTCTTGATATGGCATGAGAAGACAGATTAAAAATATATTTTTTTACATGTTGAAAGAGACATTTATTTGTCATTTTGATAAATTTTTCAATATGACGGTGATTAGCTGAGTGGCATATTTCGTCCATAATCCTCGAGCTTACGAAAAGTGATTGAGGGCAATATGCTGAATATGAAAATGAACATGGGACTTCGCTTTAATTTTTTTACTTTTTTAATTTTTGGTTATAAAGCATTTCTTCGTGCTATTCGCACACTTCTTATCAATTGTTATTTTTTAATTTTTTTTTAATTCATTCAATCCAACTGCTGAAAATATGTAAAACATAAAAAATGATCTGTGAATGCCCCTTTCTCCAATATCCGTTAAACCTATATTTATATTTTTTAAAATTAATGATCTTCAATGTCTACGTTAAGTTTATTTCAAAAGTCAAAAAGAGTACAAATTCCACGAACTAGAAGGATAATGGCAGGTAATCGGAAATTTCATACTTGGTTACTCTTTATATTTACAATTAGTTTTGTGATGAAATTTTATTTCTTTTATAATATTAGAGCAGGCGACCTACATGTAAAGCTTAACAGTCACACGTACTTCACGTCACTCAATTTGTGTTGACGACATGTGTGCCTTGAAAATTCTCCACACATGAAAATGTGTGTGAGGATATGAAAATAAAGGAGTCACATCGGTGAGGGTCAGCTCCTTGTAAGGCCTTAAAAAAACTCCTCATATTGCAACTGTTTTTATGGCAAAACCTCAACTTTTTTTAGATAATGTCTCTACTATTAATTTGTGTATAAAAATCAATGGAGGTATTTGTTGATTTACCCCTTGAACTTGTATGCAATTGCCAATTCCCCTCTTCCCAAAATTCTAATTTTAGTTGATTGCCTCTTGAATTTTTTTAATTAACTAATTTTCAAACTTTTATAATCATGGTCTGGTCATTGGCTAATACGCATGGTAATCAAAATATGTCCTTTTTCAGAGGAACTTCATAAAGATTAAAGACCTCTCAACTTTTGGACACACTCATTGCCACGGCCGCCTATACGACTGTTGCCATTCAACAAGCAGTCAATTGAGTGGAAAAATCAAAGAACCAATCACTAAACAAGACAAAGTTTGAACCAAAAAAAGAAGATAGATTAAAAAGAAAGAAAAATGAAACTATATAGATCTAGTAAATGTTACACAACAAAAAAAAACCTAAAAGCTGTAGCATTCGAGAGATACAGTAATTGAAATTCGACCTTTTATACTAGATAAGTCGATAATATTGTATATCAAATAAATTATCTATAACATAATAAACAGTGAATATGTTATGTAAGTCGAAGAAAGATAGAAAATGATTTGAAAATAGAGCATGTACATATGCACTTTTGGTAGCTGAATATGTAATTTTCGGTTGGTTTAGAAAACCAAGTCCCCTACCCATAGAGCAT